TATATTTAGAAATATGTGGGTGGAAGATATAACAAATTATATAACGGGGAGCTAACCCATTGAGCTTGCAAGTTAGATATTAGTTATTTTTATTTCTATTTTAGAAAATGGTATTTATGTGTTCTTGTTTTATACTTTAAATGCTTTTTGGTGAGCTAAAATGATGAATAATTGATAAGGGTTTGCATGATGTGTTTCAGCCATACAAATAATGAAAGATCCATAAATATTTTTTAGGGTGTCATATATATATTAATAACACAAAATTTATTAAAATTTGAAGAAAACTTATATTTCAAGATAGACATAATCAATAGTTCAAGGTGGACACAATAAGTAAAACAAATAATTAATAGAAATAAATTCAAACTTCAAGGTATGCACTTATCTACTCTGAATTACACTTGCATTCACCACTGCATATAGAGTAAGAAAAGTACCAAAATGTTTTTTTTATATATTATACTTAAATTATCTATATTTTTTAAACCTATAAATCCTATAAATCACTATAGTATATACTTTTTGAACTCTTAAATCAAAAGATTTTGTATGCTTGAATAGATTCAAATTCATAATTTTTCGATGTTGTAACAACAACCATCCATAAAATTAAAATTAAAATTAAATTAGAAGTATAAGTTGAAAAGTTAAAATAAGGCCGGGTCAAAGCGTAAGACGAGGCAACAGCTAAGGGCCAACATTTTGAGACCTATGGTGTGTTTGGTTGGGGGAATGTGAGATTCCCATGGGAATGATATCCACATTCCCCCGTTTGGTTGGCTGGGAATGTCATTTCTGGTAATCTTACATTACCAATAATAGATTTTTTGGGGTATATTACCGGGAATGTCATTACCTCCATTTCCTTAGGTATTGTTGGATTACTGGCGTTTTGGACTAAAATGCCCTTAAAAAAAATTTCTTTCAAAAATATCTCATTGAATAATAAAAATTCTACGGAGGTTAAATTACAAATTTATCCTTAAACTATTTTAGATTTACAAAAAAAAAATCTATAATTAAAATTTTATATATGAAGTTCAGGGGTAAAATAAAATTTTACCCTTTCATTAAAACTTTTTATATTTTCAATTTTGTAAAAAAAAATTATATAAATTTTATGAATTTAATTTTTTTAAAGAAAATATATAAATATTTTCCAACTTGTTAAAAAACAAATATATATAATAAGGATAATTTGGTCAAATATACATTCCAATAATCTTTTATTCCTTTAACTAAACACAATAATGTTACATTTCTGCTAAACCAACCAAACACAAAATACAACATTCTCAATAATCCTATTCCCTGGTAATCTTTTATTCCCACTGATAATCTTACATTCCGTGAACCAAACGCACCCTAAGTGTCATATCCGTCCTAAAAGATGTTTAAGTCCCATGTTATTTTTTGAAATAAGGTTTTTAAAATATTTTATAATAAGAATTAATTTGTCACATTAGAAATTATGTGAGATCTATGAGGTATTTTTACTAAAATTCATCATGAAAAACGATTAAAGATACCGTCAAAATCCTTGTTTGTAACATTTTCTGTCACTTCTCCGAAAACCAAACAGAAAATATGTTTTAATTTCGAACAAAAAAATCATTAGGGCACATAGATTATACATATATGAGCCTGAATGACATTAAGGTCTTATGACATGTCACAAACCACACTTGTAAATGATCGGGCTTGCTAAGCGTCACAATGCTGGACTGATCCATCGCTATGTAATTTTGTGTGAAAGTGCACTCATTTGATTTCCAGATCAGTAAATTTCATTTTTTGAGAGCTGGGAACTGAGATACTTAGATTTGTAGTGCTAAATTTATTTGCTTCAGCTTCTTGTAAAAGAATTCAATAATAAATGGATGTTGACCTGTGACATTCTTTATATTTGGTGTGAATCGGGCAATTACTCCTCAATTGTACTATTTTTTATTAAGTTAAAGATGATTACAAAAGTAATATCTATTTTAAGCATTTTCAACTATTTGACAATAAATGCTCAATCACCCTTATAGTTACTGGTGTTTGAACCCACGACCTCTAGGGACAACAATTCCTTTAACCACTGAAGTAAGTTGGTTCGTACACTTGCATGCTTCAACATATATAAATTTAAGGGTAAACTACACATTTAATATTTCAATTATCACTTTTAATCTATTTTAATCACTCAGCTATTTTTTATAAATCATACTTACATTACATTTTGTTTTCATTTTAAGCAACAACCATTAAAAACTTAACAGTGATGTTAACGTGTCACCATAAAATAATGTCACGTTATCATTGAATTTTTTAAAAATATCACGTCAACAATTATGTTAATTTTTAATGACTTACAACAAAATATAACATTAATTATAATTTTCAAAAAAAAAAATTGCATTACTAAAACAAAATAAAAGTGATAGTCATAGTACTAAATGTGAAATTTACCCAAGATTTAATTACACTTTCATGCTTTTTTGGTACTTTTCCGACAATCCAACCATATTGAGCAATTATGGTACTTATCATGAATAATTTCAAATAAATTTAATACAAATATTAGTTTATTCAAATCGTAACATACATTATAATTTATTAATTTTAACGAATTATTAAAAACTTCATTATTTAATATAATACACGATAAACTTTGAAAGTAGCTTCTCATTCCAACCTGGCAAAAAGTATGAACAAAGATCAAATTCTAAAGCTGATTATCACTTTAGCTCTAACCATCAAATTTTAACCGTAAAATTCGCATTTATTTATTTGGCAGAAGGATATGTAAGACGCTCATATTTTTTAAAAAATAAAAATTAATGTGACATTCGTATTTTTTTCATCTAATGTAATCCTTAAACTTAAAAAATAAATTTAATATGACTCTTTCATTGTTGACCGTCACAATACTAACGTGACATTTAACTATATTGATGTGGTGATCTATGATCACTGATGATGTGACAAATCAACCAAATTAATTTTTTTTAAAGTTCAATACTTATTCAATTTTTTTAAAATATTTTAAATTTAAAAATAAAAGAATACTCAAAAAAATGAAATATCAAAAACATGAAAAATAAAAATAAAATACTAAAAAATTAAAATATATTATTATTTTTACCTCGAAATTAATCTGACTTTTATTTATATAAACATGATCTCGTCTATTTTGTATAAGTTTTATTTTATATTCTTACCTCTAATTATATTGAACTTTAACTATCTTTTGAATTCGAATTTACTAATTTTTTTAATAAAATTTAATTAAATAAATATTATAAAATATTATAAAAAATAAAATTTAAAAGTTATATAATTAAAATATATGTATACATTATCATTGAAATATATACTTAAAAATATTTAAAATAGTATACAATTAAAAGAGTATTTTAATGAATATAATATGCTAGAGGAAAATAAAATTCACATAAACTTAATTTAAAAATAGTAATAAGAAAATTATCGTACATTGTCAATTTCTGTTAGATACAACTCTATAAAATTAAGATGGATATCAACTTCACGTATTTGAGATTTTTTTTATTATCTCTTTTTTTTTCAAGGAATAACAAACACATTTTCTATACAATAAAAATAAAATAAAATTCACATTAGACTTGACATATACGAACATAATAATATAATTATACCGTTAAGGACAATAAAATTCACTTTAGAATTCATCTCGAAAATGAATAAATCATTTAAAAATGGCATTTTCAATTACTCTGGTTAATATATATGTATAAGTAATTTTTTTAAATTTTTCTATATTTGTATAGCTTAAATTTAAAATTTAAAAATAATTTTTTTCTTGAGAAAATCAAATAACTCTTTAACTTTTAAGAAAATCAATTTGACCCTTAAACTCAAAAAAAATAATAGCCATTCTAGACTGTCACATCAACATCATAACAATCAATGAAGAAAATTATTGGTCAAATGATCACATTCAGTTTATTTTTAAGTTTGAATGTCACATTAGGTGCAAAAAAGCACAAGGACCACATTGATTCTTTTAAAAGTACGAGGATCTCACATACTCTGTGTCTATTTATTTTTATTTCTAAACATATCTCGTCGTTATGCACTTCTGATTTATCTTAGAAAATGTGCCAAAAAATTTAGAGTAAAGTAAACAAATGGTCCCCAACAATAAGATATTACTTTGTTAAATCCCCGACTATAAAATATTACTTTGTTAAGTCTCCTACTATTAAAAAATTAAAAAATGTTTCTTCGACTGTAAGGTGTTGCTTTATTGAGTCCCTCGACTATTAAGTTACAAAATGATCACTCGACTATTCATATATTCTGAATTCTTCCCTTTTTGTTAAAAATTTGACAGTTGTCTAAGTTGAACGTCAACATGCTAACTGATATATGATATTCGTTTGAAATTAGATTTCATCATAATCTAATCAGTATGTTAACATCGAACTCAAACTGACGTCAATTTTTTAAAAGAAAAAATCGTGTTTGGAATATATGAATAATCCAGTGATCATTTTAACTTTTAATAGTCGATAGACTCAACAAAACAACACCCTATGATAAAAAGACCATTTCGTAACTTTTAATAATCGAGAGACTCAACAAAGTAACACCCTATAGTTAAAGGACCATTTGTGTACTTTACCAAAAATTTAACTTAGAAAAAGGATAACATAACATCACAAGTTCTTTATATGTTGCTTCAACATCAGCAACCAAAAAAAGTTTATCTTGATTTGGACAATCTAGAAATCATTCAACTAAATATAAATACTTTCAGTCTTAATAACCATATTTTGCAATTTTAGCTTGCACATATACATGATAACTTGACAATAAAGTATAAATGGAGAGAAAAAGGCTGTGGCCAATTTGATTCTACATGAACAAAATGCCATGGAAAGGAAGGATTTTGAATTTTGATTAATACTTACGCGAAACGAACGACATTTCTGACCCGAATCAGTGGGAAATGAAGGTAAAAAGACCTCTTCAAAAATGGTATTCTCACCCTTTAAACAATAAATCAGATGTAATATCGTTTCGCAGCAGTGGCAGACTGCAGTTGTATTTGTAGTCTACAACATCACACTTAACTCCCTAATGCCCACTTTTATTGAAATAAAATACAGAAATCAATTGGAGTTGGCGTCTCCAGAAACCATCATCTTCAAGCAGAAACATATACATATATATAGATATATGTTAATGCATATAAATGTGTTATCCTTACCTGAAAATTCTGCTTCCGAGATTAATCTGATAGGTAGGTCCAAATCGGATAAGACGCCACCCTTCCATTGCTCTCTACGCCTTTGGTTAGGATTCTTGTTAGAAGCTACAGTTCAGAGAGTAATATGTGAATGATTCAGAGAGCTTCAAAATGGTAAAACAATTTTAGAATAAAGAGACTCAACTTTATATGATCTATATGCATTCAATTTGAATCTATATTCAAGGGCTTCTGAGATAAGAAGTCAACAACACATACCCTGTCGTACCACTCAAGCCTAAGAATCAATAAAACCTACTCCTAATCATAAGATCATCTCCAGGTAAGAAACCAAAATATATATTAGCAAATAAACCAGTAAACCAAGCTTTACACGAAGAGTAAATATCTAGCGAAGAGTTGATATCTATTTTGAAATGAAATCCAAGAAGTTTAGTTGTTTAAACCGAAACTCTAAAAGGTAATTAACTACAAACTATAAGCTTGTATTTTATTTGCCATTTAAACTCGCAAAAGTAGACAACAAATTCCTTAATGCGATATTTGAAAAGATGTATTTGAGCAACTATGGATTTTATTTGCTAAAGTGAAATGCACATAGTATACACATTCAACTAAACTTCAATATGTCCATATATTTGAAAGGTTTAACAAGGTAAATTTACAAATGCATACAGGCATTTCAAATTCATAAATAAATAGGAATCTATTAAGTCGATGAACTCGGAAACAACAATGAAGTGATATTCACATGTTTTTTTTTGTGAACTTCTACATATTTGACTTTGGCATGTGAGAGAAGGTCCCGCTTCTCTCTAGAGCCCAGAGCCCAGGCATTTTTGAATTATTTTCTCCACCGTCATCCACCCGTTGTCCGCCACCGTCAGACGTCCGCCGCCATACTCCGACCTCCGTTTGACGCCGTATTTTCCTGGGAAGATCGTCTGCTCAAGGTGAATTCAGATCTGGCCTTAGATTTGCAAAAAAGACTGTCAATCGACGCAGATCTACACGCCGTCCACTGCCGATTTACGCCGCCTCCCGCCGTCCGTGTTCGACACCGCCTTACCACTGAACTCAGCGTCTTATCGCGACCAAAACCGAGTATCCTAGGGTCGAGAATCGTTTCTATTTGCAGTGAACAGTTTCGATCTCACCATGGAAGCCCAACCCCCGTCTCAGCCTAGGCAACCTCGAGGGTTCGCTGCAACATGCGCGGCGGCTGCATCCTCTGTGAGCCCCTCTACTGTTCCTCCTTTAACGTCAAGGATTTCACCACTCCCTCATGAACCATATAGCCGTGGTGCAACTGTTGATATTCCTCTTGATTCTGCCAAGGATTTAGAAGCGAGAGTGAAGGAACTTAAAGCAAAAGAGGCTGATTTGAATAAGCGGGAACATGAATAAAAAGGAAGGAGAATGCAAAAGCACGAGGTAGGTTTTTCAAGACCTCTGGATTCGCCGGTGCAACCACTTCATCTTACTCCGTAAGGAAAAACGTGAAATGAAGATAGAAAAGGAGAGGACAAAGATTCGGAAACGGCACAGGCGAGTTTTCACCAGACGTATGCTGGCTGGATTGAGGCAATATGATAATTTCCCTCTTCCTCCACATGCTGCTATGAAAGATGTACTGGCTGCCTTGGCCCGTGAGGCTGGTTGGACAGTTGAGCCCGACGACACTACTTACAGACACTCTCCTACACCCCAAAATCAGCAAAATTTGGGAACATATTCAGCGAGGTCAGGTGAAAGTCCATTATCAATCAACCCATTGAAGAAGTGCTCTGTTAAAGCAACATTGTACTGTCAGCCACCTGTTGTCAGAATCGATGACATTGATTTGTCTCCTTCACAAGTAGAGAAACCTAGGATTGGAAAGCTTTCTTTAGTACAGGCAACACCAGCTCTTTCTGTCGATGATGTTGATCATGATGGAACCAAGGAGATCACAACGAAAGGGTACTCCAATGAAAAGTTTTCCGAAGTAGCGAGAAGGAGAATAAATAGGTTTCATAATTGGTGGAAGGAGGAAGGCCAACCAAAAATCGGTAATGGGTTCAGAAATGATTGTTACACGATATTTATCGAAAACCTTCCAGAGAAAATCCATTGGAAGAGACTCGGATCTATATTTGGCACACACGATCAAGTTATTGATGCCTTCATTTCTAATAAAAGAAACTCGAAAGGGGTTCGTTTTGGGTTTATTCGCTATGCAACAATTGAATAAGGAAAACGATATCAAAGATGAATGGTAATCATATTTACGGCAGCAAAATTAGAGTCTCTTTGGCTAAATATAAACCCCGACAATCTTACTGGAGAAAGTCCTCGACAGTTGTTCAACATAAGTCTGGGATGGAAGATTTTTCGAGGAATAAACACTGTGAAGTTCAGGGTGTTGTGGACGAAGATAAACTTTACGTGTTAAGTAACTGTCTTGTGGGGTGGTGTAAGAACTTTATCAAAATTGGTAATCTTGCTAACCAAATACAAGCCAAAGGACAAGCTGGTTTCACGCTAATGAGAGCTGCTAGAAATGTAGTTCTAATGGTTTTTGAAGACTCTGATTCGTTGAGAAGCGTGAAGGATGATAAATTAGAGACTCTTGTAGAATGGTTTTCTAGAGTGGAAACTTGGTCAGAGAGACTAGTGGTGGAGTGACGTCGCGTGTGGTTAGTTTGAGAAGGTATTCCTTTTCACGCTTGAAATTGGGATACTTTCAAAAACATTGCAACTAAGTGGGGCAAATTATTAGCAATTGACAACAGTTGTGAGTTTCCATCGTCTTTTGATCGGACTAAAATTTAAATACTCACGAAGGCTCAAGGGAGAATTGATGAGTTGTTTGAGTTGAAGGTCGGTTCTAATTTATTCAAAATCATGGTGCATGAAGTTGATCCTTCCTTCAAACCTAATTCTTGGGTCCCTGAAGATTGCGATATTTCATTAGAAATTGTCCCTCCAATTGGATCGTAACTGTTCGACAGCTGTATTCAGAGGCGTTTTTTTAGTTTTTTGTTGTAAATGCTGGTTTTTATTTTGTTATGTTCTTTTGCTTCTTGAGGTGTATTTTAGAAATCGGGTTACTGTCTTAGGGGTTTTTTGTTTGAAGATGGAAGATTTTTAGGTGATATGGTTTTTTGTAATGGTGTATATTCCTGTATGAGGGTTCGATGTTCTCACATGTACTTGGTCTTCTATTTAATAAAATATGAGGTACTCTTTTCTTCCTTCCAATATTCTTCAACATACTACTAAGTATGTGGAAGAATACGAAGGGAGTTTTTAATGAGACCTCCAACTTCTATAAAAAAAAAAATATTCACATGTTTTTATTGTACTACTTGTACAAAATTGAAAATCAACTCTTCTAAATTCAATTTGCCAAATCCAATCTAACTAATTTTTTAAAACTAAAATGTTACATCAGTAGGAAGAGCATGGTAGTTTGTAGCCCATTTCACAATAACACCTCAACAGAAAACCTGAAACATATTAGAATTAAATAAAACCAAAACAAAAGGTAAACTTGAAGATAATCTAATGTCAGATGCATGGAAATGTCTACAGACAGTAATAAACAATACAATAATATAGGACAGAATGTACGCCAACTAATCATATCATTTTAAATTTTTGCATCTCTTAAAACTGAAGGATGGCATCATGTGAAGAACTCAGTTATAAATGGTAGTAAAGCCAAATTCTTAAAGGAGTAATATTAAAAATTATATTTCATTCTGTTGAATGCAATGAGCAACACCACAATGAAAAATAAGAAGGTTTGATGCAGATATTTTAAGGATACATTCAACATAATCAATCCAATAAAGCTCTCAAACACATTCATTTCTCTACAAAGTTAAAAAGACAGTCTAAATCTCATAAATTTCTCGCTACTATGAAATACCTGGCAATTGGCTTTATCAACAAACTGTTAAATTAACAGTTTGGTACTCTCTGTTAGATCAAAGCCTTTCTCAAACATCTCCTCCAGCCATCTCTGAGCTTCAGTTCTCCTACCTTTTTTGAGAAGACCGTGTATTATGATGTCATAAGTCCATCGGTTTGGCTCATAACCCTTCTCGCATATCCAATCATACAACTCAAAAGCTTGGTCCACTTTGCTTACACTTAACTTCCTCAATAATGTATTGTATGTGTAGACATCAACTGGGAAACATTTTGCAATAATTTCTTCCAAGTTCTCAATATCTTGGTTTGCTTTGACACAACCAGAAAATATTCCAATTAGTTGGCCAAGAAACGAAATATCTGATGAATCTTGCAGCTCTCTAAATTGAACCCAAGCCTCATACAACTTCTTTGTCTTTAAAGAGTGTAACAACAATATATTACCAATAAAGGATGATATATAACCCCTAGTTTTCTCCAACTCATTAACAAGACTTACGGCCAAACCATAACTTTCCTTCTGACACACGACTGTATAAGAAGTTCATAGCATTCCATACTTGGAAGTACATTATTATTCCCCATTTCCCTCATGAAATTCAACGCATAATCAATCCTGTCAGCTTTGCAAAGACCAACAACAACGGAACTGTATAGTTTTCTCCCTGCGCGTCTTCTCTGGTGTACATCATTAAAGAAGTTTAGACCATCAGAAATTCTGTCATTCTTTAAATAACTAAGCAACATAAGGATGTCGGACTTCAGAGAAGGCATAATCCCACTTCTTTGCATCATCTCAAACACTTCTCTTGCTAGTTCAGGCTTTTTGGCATGACCAGCCCCAACAATGAAGTAGTTAAAAATTTGAGAGCTTGGTTCAAATTGAGACAACTGCATCTCCAGCAATTTGAAGAACTGGTTTTCCGGGCTTTGCATACCGCACAGGCAACAGATAACAGATTTAAATAATTTTCTATTTGGTTTATGAGCCTTCTCCTGCATTTCAAGTAGAAGTGTTGCAGCAATATCACCCCTATTTGACTTGCAAAACCATGAATCAAGTGAAAGTAAGTTTCAGGTGACAAATCTTTGTTTAATCTACTAAGTTCACCATGTAATAAATAGGCATCTTCAACCCTATTTGCTTTACACAAAGCCACAATAAACAGGTCACATACAGCATAGGAGGGCCTAAATTTCCTCTCCAGGAACAAAACAACCAGCTCCTTTATCTTGTTAAGTTTTCCCTCTTTGCACAAGGCATCCACAAGAATTGTTAAGATCTTTTTACTAGGTAAGTAACCTTCTCGAATTGAATTTCTTAACACACGATAAGCTTCATCAATAACTCCACTGGAACATAAATTATTGATCAAATGACAATAGGTCATGCTATTAAGAGAAAGCCCAAACTCTGACCTGGAGTTATACAACTCAATGGCAACATCCACCATCCCTGCCTTGCAAAAGAAACACAAAACAGCATTCATGGTGACCCTATCAGGTGATATACCATCTTTCTCCATTTCAATTAACAAATCATAAACTTCATTTAGTCGGTATTCTCTTAACAGTCTCAACACCAAAACATTGCACTGAAATAAAGGGGTACATCCTTATCTAATAATTTCGTACTATTGACAAAGTCCAAGGACCAGTTTAACCTCCCCCGTTGCACAACATTGTGAAGCCAGATCCCGTAAGCATGCTCCAATGACACATTAAGCTCTGTGAACTCCTCCAACAAGGTGGAGGCATGCTTGAACCTGTTACCCTTGCAGAGCGCATTCACAATAATACTCACGGCATGCCCACTGACAGACTTCTCTCTCTCAGCCAAACTGCGCAAATAGGCCTCTGCCTCATCCAACTTGTTTTGCTTGCACAAACCCTTGACCAGGATGGAGTAAGTGATGTCATTCTCAAAACCCCTCATTGAAATCTGCTTAGCAACCATGTCAGCGGCGTCAAAGCAACTCTCGTCTACAAGAGCATTCAAAAGCACATGGTAGGCGAAGGTATCCAAATCAATACCCTGGAACCGCATTCTTCCGAACAGCTGGAGTGCCATCCCTGGTTTCCCCGCAAGGGCATAACCCATAACTAAAGTTTCGTAAAATCTGATCCTGTGGATGCACCCATGCTTCATAAAATCCTGCAAGAACTCAAGCATCAAGGGCATTAGCTTCGCCTTGGAGAGAATCTTGAAGATGGCATGGTAGGTGGTTCGGGTGTGTTGGAAACCCGGCTGGCGGCCCGCCCAGTCGAAGAACTTGAGGCATGAGAGAACGCCTTTGGAGGAGCGGCGGCCGTAGGAGAGGACCTGGAGGACAAACGCTTCGGAGAGATGAATGTTGAGGTGGGAGAGAGCAAGGTCGGCGGAATGCCTCGAAGACGCATCGTCCCGGGCGGCTTGCTCTTGGGAGCTTAGGATGCTGAAGATGCGGTCGAGAAGAGCTGTGTTCGGCGTTGGGGGCTTGAACCAGTCCCTTAAAGATGCCACCACGTCCTTGGCGCTTAGATTGAGGCGGTGAACGGATGAGGAATGGGAGGAAGACGATGAGACAAACAAAGAAGAGTAGGAATAGGAATTAACATTGCGATTCTTCAACAGAGTGGATTTGGATACATGTTTAATCGATCCTAAAAGCTTGATCATATCTTCTTCTGGTTCTTCACTCACTATGGGATTGGATTCGTGTGTTTCAAAACTCACAACTCCACTTGAATTTTCAACAACCCCAATTCCTGACGCCAAACCTCCAACCGCGGCCAATGGCGTCAATTTTCTTAATACAAAAATGATAAACCATGACTTTGAACTTACAACCGCATTTGGATTTTACTTTACAGCCCGCAAACTCAACTCTTTTAGGCTTCCAATTGTTATTTCAAGGTTTAAGGGTACCAAATCCTTCAAACTAAAAAAAGTCTCAAAATTTTTATATTTAATTAAAATTTTATTATTTGAAATCTTATTTTTTTAATTAATATTGATTTTTAAATATAGAGTAAATTACATAAATAGTCCACTGACTATAAGGTGATGCTTTGTTGAGTCCCCTAGCTATTACAAGTTACAAAATGGTCGCCCAATTATTTAGTATGTTTCAAACTCGTCATTTTTCGTTAAAAAAACTGATGACATTCTAAGTTGGATGTTAACCTGATGAATGATATATGATAAAATACAATCCCATTCCCATAATCTAAAAAAACTATATCCCAATCAAAAGGTTAAAATCCAAATTAGATTGTTGTAGAATTTTTAATAAAAAAGAATGAGTTAGAACATAATAAATAGTCGAATGACAATTTTATAACTTTTAATAGTCGAGGGACTCAACAAAGCAACATCCTATAGTCGAAAGACCATTTTGTAACTTTTAATAGTCGAGTGACTTAACAAATATTACCCTATAATCGAGGGACTATTTATGTACTTTAGCCTTAAATCTATTTTTTTGGCCGTTGATATCACATCGTTACTAAGTACTATTCTTAAAAATATATTAATTTTCTAATATATTGTTAAAACGTTTTATGAATTATTTTGTAATTTTAATAATTTTTTAGAATATTTCTTTGAAAAAATCTATAAATTTCATGCAACAGAAATATAATGGGTCATGTGAAAGTAATTTCTAAAAAAATATTATTATGACTTAATGATTAAATTTGATTAGAGAATTTCATTGATTCTTTTTTATTCGAAGAATCAATTAATTAATTTTTTTAATTTAAGGGTTCAATTGAGTGTAGAAAATTTAGAAGTTCACTTTATTTTTTTTAAGTTAAAGAGCTTCGAATACTATTAAACTTAATTAAGATGAAATTGAGCTCAATTAGTCATAAATTTTTTTTTTGAATAAAAGATAAAATGCGACGGACCTAAAGTTCAATAAGACCATTTGAGAAAATGAGGCCAATTTCTACGGTTTAAAAATCGTTTTGGACTGGGTTTTGGAAAGGGAAAAAAAGATAGGCACATTTTCTTCTCTTTCTTCTTTATTCTCCATCTTCTCATTTAAGGTGGAGGTAAGGATTTCTTCTACGTTCCATTTAATCTTAGTTTCTTCTTATGCCTTTCTACAAACATAGTTGTTAATGCAATAGCTTTGGTTTCATGTTATAGCAAAAGTGTATACATTTGTTTTCGCCAGATAATTTAAATATTATTATTATTATCTAATTATAATTATAATTATAATTTTAAATTATAATTATAATTTTAATGTTTAATTTTTATTATTATTATTTTGTAGGATTTTTTACAAGCCCAAATCGGACCCCAATTACAAAGCCAACCAGCCCAACCAGAAATCTAGACCTGGGCCCAAACAAATCCAAACCCATGCCCAATTACAAAACCTTTATAGCCCATTATGTTACAACTTTGGCTAACCCTAATTTTAGGGTTAGCCATATACCACTGCCGAAGAGCCCAACCAGGCACCGATAGTTAGAATCATCAAGCCGAGTCATGTTAGATTTTAATAAAATCCGAGGCATTTAATGCCTCACCAACTCTCTGCCATCAACCATACCTCCCTGCCACACATGTCAATCATCAATAACCATCAATAATAGGTGTTAGAAGATATTTTATTTATTTTAATCTCTGTAAATTTGGGTATAAAAACTCAAATTTATTGTAAGAAATTAGGATCCCCTTTTCATTTTTTAGAAGCAATACACAAAAGTCTTAAGGTGTGTTTTCTTCCCTTATTTTCAGTTTCGAATAATAATAAAAAAACTAAGAATATTTACGAAAAAATGAAGGAAGAAGAAGAGATCTAGAGAGTTACATGAGAGAGGACCTGAACCGTACGGTCGGTTCATCTTCGCGGTTAGAAAAGGTGAGAAACTAAAATGTCGAAGAGTTTTGGGGTCTTTAGAGGTCATTTTAGGTGATTTCGGCCTTAGATCTAGGCTTAGGATGATAGATCAAAATGAAGGGCTTATTTTGGGATTGGTTTAGGTGTTTCGGCCGTCGTGTGTGGCGGCCCGAACAGTGGCAGGAGTGGTTGTGTGAGGTGGCCGGTCGAAAGATAGAAGAGATATGAGAGATATTTTTAAGTTTTTTTTAGTTTTTCGGTGGAAATGAAAAAAAAAAAAACAGAAAAGTGGGTTTTATGGGAGAAATTTAGGGTAAACTCATGCATAGGTCCCCCATAGTTTAGCGCATTTTTGCATGTTAATCATCTGTGAGGACCAAAGTTGTTATTTACCAATTTTCATGAATGCTATATATTCTTTGGGATATTTGCTATTTACTCCCCATAGTTTAGCATGTTTTTGCATGTTGGTCACCTGCGATGACCAAGGTTGTTATTTACCATTTTTCATGCATGTTATATATTTTTGGGATATTTGCTGTTTAGTCCCCCATAGTTTAGCGTGTTTGTGCATGTTGGTCACCTGCAAGGACCAAAATTGTTATTTACCTTTTTTCTTGTATATTATGTTTTATTAGAAAATTTGTTGTTCATTTCCCTTGATTTAAGCGTGTTTTTGTATTTTTATCATGTGTAGTAATTATTTAATTTAATTTTATTATTTCTAGACTGATTTAGTAATTTACGCATTTTTCTTTAAAAGTATGTTTTAGGCTTGTAAAAAAGGAATAATCATTAAATAGTCCATGTAGTTTCAATATGTTTTATATTCTGGTCTCTAATCGTTTTTTATTTAATTTAATTTAATCATATAATTTTTATTTTATTTTAATTTGGTCTTTATATCTTATTTATTTTTATTCATTACAATTTTAGCATTTAATGTTAAATATGTTCATTTGGTTAATTTTGCAGTTTATTTTATTTTAATTTTTTGATATGATGATTTATTTGTTTACATTTTAGTCATATTTGCATTTTTTTATTTTAATTTTGCATGCTGCTTTTATGTTATTGTATTTTAGCCAGTAATTAGTTATGTTATCTCTATTTTAAATTAATTTGCATTGTGCCCTCACAAGCATTTCTCGACTCGAATCAAAATAATTTTACTAAGGGTAATATTCGTTCATTTTAAGATTGTCGTAAAGTGACTGTCTTAATGTATAAGAAAGTTACTTTCGATAATTTTAAAATAAAAGTTTATCCCATTGTGTGACATGAATTAAATTGATTCCATTTTAAAATTTGGGGACTGAGAAAAAGATCATGTTCTTTTAATTAAGTTCACCGAGAAAAGACTATTAGATCGAATCTAAGGTCTCGTCTCGATGTATTTAAATAATTGAACATCCTTATTCTCATTAAAGGTTGGTAAAATAATTAATTAATTATACTTGCTTGATGTATGTTTTTAATTTATTTTATTTTATTTTTGCATGTATTTTCAATGGGATTTCAAAATAAATAGCACTCGAATTAATAATAAATTTTAGAAGGAAAGAGTAATATTTCTTTGTTTTGATTGGAGTAAGAAATGATTGCTTTAAGGCATGAGATGTTGTTTCTTCTCGATAGAAAATGATTAAATATTTCCCTTTTCCCTCTTAAAATTCAAAGAGCGTTTTATTGTTATTGTTATGTATGCATTTAGATTTGGAATTAATAATGAACATTAGGTTAGAATTGTAATATTCATTTCTATTGGAGTAAGAATCGACTGCTTTAAGGTATGAGAGGTCGTTTCTTCTTGATAGGAAATAATTAAATTTTATTGTGTTTATTCCTAATATTAAAAGAATATTATTTGTATGGGATCTTAAATTAAATTAAAATCTAATTCGTAAATTTCATTGCAAGGACAACTAATTAATCGACTATGTACCGATTTAGGGCACTGTGGGGATGCTAATCCTTCCCCACACGTAACCGACTCCCGAACTAAAATTTTTGGTAACGCAGACCGCAAATTTGTTGTTTTAATTTAAATTAATATTTTTATTAAAATGAAAAATATGTTTTTGGGTGCCCAATCACAACCTAATTAAAGATTGACAGCGATTCCTCGAATCACGTTTTATTATTAACAGGTCACCAAATTATTCGAGACGAGATCTTTAAAAATTAAATTTGTTTTTTTAAGAAAAATCGTTAAAACAGCTTGGTGACTCCACTAGGGACCTTTTTTATATAGTCAGGCCATTAGTCGATTAATTAATTGTCTTTGCAATGAGAATTCTGAATTCGTTTTAATTTAATTTTTAATCCCTTGTTTGGTTTAAATAAATTTTATGTTTATAATTTGATTAATTACTAAATAGTTGTTTGATTTGTTTGTTGGTGTTTTCAGATTAAGTAAATGTTCAAGATTTTGAGAATTTTTTTTTGTATTTTTTGATTTGTTTTTACTTTTCCTCACACACTGCACAACTGAAACATGAGCTAAAACCTCGCTACGTCCTATTTAAGTAGGAGTGATAAACTACTCCCTCCTGTGGTTTTCACCTCCGTACGAGATAGTGGATCACTCCTGAGGCTCACGCCTTATAATCCTCATGATGGTTTTCACCATCGTATGGACATAAGAAGGTGTGTCCCCTCGAATTGAACTCAATCTGAAAGCTTGTGATGGGCCAGGATTGAGGGTTTGGCAGCCCAAGGGGGCACCGACAATGACAATTCGAGAATCTTTTACTTTAGAGCTGAACCCAACATATAGTGAACCTAAAACCCAGATAGAGCCTTACTCAAACCTTAAGAGACCCATGAGAAGAGTACACAAGGAAAATCCTTTTTGAGTCTTTTAATTTTTGTAGTGTAATTGTACTTTTAGAATAAATGTATGCAAACTAGAGATCATGAAGTTAGGTTTAGTT